TTCTCTTTTCGGCAGCCCAAGCCCATTTGTCAAGCTGCTAGAATAAAAAGACCCCTACATAAAATGGCGACTCTGCTGGGGATTAGGTTGCTATCTTCACCAATACCTCCAATCATAAGCAATAAACTAGAGAAAATAAAGAGATAAGAACGTCCAACTTTCTTTTTCTATTTTCCTTTTGTTGGCTATCTACTTTGCAGAACAAGCATAACATGCGTTACTGACATGTTCCTTTTGCTGGTGTCTTAGATCTCCATTCTCAAGCAAAACCAGATCTTGTACGAGGGCTGGGGGCTTAGGCAAATCCATCATTCATGTCATTGAAGTGAATTACACATGTAAACTCCAAAATACTTGGGGGCTTCGTGCCAAGCAAATCTGTGAAAAAAAGAAAAAAAGAAAAGGAGTCAAGCAAAGGCGCCTCAAAGTTTCTCATGCTAAACCAAGCTATACCTCAGTTCCAAGAGCTGTGTGAACATTATTCACATCCTCATAGCAAGTTCAAGCTATATCATTCCTAGCCAAGTTAAATTCTTCCAGTTCCTACTCTACAAGCAAAGAATTTCTGGCACTCGCCTTATTTCAAATCTTCTTAGCCCCTGCCTCATTTCAAACATCATGCCACTGTATATGCTCCTCAACCCCCAAAAGCTCAATTTATCCTGGCAACAATTCAAAAAACTCATATATCAAGCATTTGACAAATTTACAGGGCGTAATACCAATCCACATGCCAAGAAATTTCATTTCATTCAAGCATTCCAAGCAATTCAAGCATTTCAAGCAAATTCAATAACTCATGCTCTTGCGACAAAGCCATACAACTTCACGCTTTCACGACAATATTGCTCAAGATCATCCTCAAGAAATGCCTAGGTCAGCACTCAATGCTAAGAGAAGGGACATGCTAAATTCCCAAGCAAAAGCAGCATGCCAAGCAAAACTTACACATAAGCTTTCCAACCATTCCAGCTAGAACATCCCACCTTTAGAAAATCACTATAAATCAAGCTTACAACCCACAAATCCCAAACTTTTCAGATTAGAACTAGACATATCAAGCTCCATTCTCCCAAAATTTCGTTGCATTTCGAGTTAGGGAAGCATGTCAAACAGATTTCCAAAACAGCCCACGCAGCAGAAACTGCACAGCTCCAGCAGCTTAGCCCTTACTTTGAAATTCCACCAAAAATTCATTTTTCTTCAAATGATGCAAGTCCAATTCCAACGTAACCATTTAGAAGTCCATTTTCATTTCTTAAAAGCTTCAACTCAGATTTGAAAAGAAACATTTCAAAAGTTCAAAAAACAGCCAGCAAGCTACTTTGAGATATTTTGACAAACACTTGGCATGCATTACCCAAGTGAGCTTGTATGATTCTTGTTTACCACCAAGCTAGAATCCTAAACCAGAAGCTCATCCTTAGAATTTGATTTCTAGTTCACAAATGCTGGGAAATACAGAGGAACTCAAGCATTCAAGCATAGAAAACAAACATGCAACAAAGGCATCAACATCAACTCATGAACATGCTTCAGAAAAATGGAGGCAGAGAGCACTAGAATGGGTGGATGATCCTTAATTTTGGATATGTTATAAACAACATAATTTCGAGCAAGTTTTGTGAAGCAAGCACAATCATCCAAGCATCATAAGTTAAAGACACATGCAAAAGCAGAATCTGCAGAAACTCACCAGGCATGGATGAATGCAGAAGTTGCAGACCAGCTTTGAGGTATCAGAAAAATTAAAAAAATTCTACAAATTTACAGGCTATAGGACTCAAGCATGTGAACAACTTTCATCAAGGAAGTTTTCTGATCCAGGCTTCCAAAATATGACTTATGTACTGATGCACAATACCCATGGGTTTGGGTCTTGAAGAAGAAGAAGAAAGAGGAGAATGAGAGAAAATCAGAAAATAAAGCATGCCATGCCAAATGAAAGGAAAGGATAGCAGCCAGTTGCAAATAAAAAAATTCAAAAGGAAGGGGCAACACAATTTTGCCCATGTGAAGGCCAAGCCAGTCAAGGACATAACGCGCCCAGCTCTCTTATGCTCTCTCAAGCCCGTATCTCTTCTTCAACCCACCATGCATCAATACAAGCATTTGTGAATTAATCTACACAAACCATGAAACTCAAGCATTTCACTTGATGCAATCATTTCAAGCAAACCAAACCAGATATCACAAGATCAAGCTTTTCAAGTAACACAGTCATCATAAAAATGAGAACTTGGCATTTCTAGCTACCGGAAGCACAGAGAAGAAGCCATGCTATCATGCCAAATTGTCCCCATTGCAACAAAGGGATATCCTAAGTTCATCACGCCATGCAATGTCCCAAACAAATACTCAAAAGGCCACGCGGCAAAAGTTTTTTGCAGCTCATGCTAATCAAATCTTTTATGATGATTATGGTGCACTTGGGGGCTGAGGAAGGAATTCATTGCAATCACCACCACCAGCAATTCCAAAACCCCAATAACCAAGATTCAAGCCAAACAAAACATGGAAGATAATGAGGCGATGTATGAAAAATAACACAAGCTCTATATTCATGTTGTCGGAAGAGTGAACCCTCATGCCAGATCAAGCTATATCTTGATTCAACTCAACCATTAGATTATCCAAATCCAAGCTAATCATGCCAAGCCAAGTCACGTTTTTTTTTCCAGCACCTATTCCATGCCAAACAAAATAATTTCCAGCACGTGCCCTATTTCAAAAATCAAGCATAGATGCAAATATCAAGCGTACAAGCAAAAATCAAGCATACATGCAAATACCAAGCATACAAGCAAAAATCAAGCATACACGCCAATGCCAAGCAATACCAAGCATACAAGCAAAAATCAAGCATACATGTCAATGCCAAGCAATACCAAGCATACAAGCCAAAGCCATGCATACATGCCAATGCCAAGCAATACCAAGCATACAAGCAAAGATCAAGCGTACGCCAATGCCAAGCATCCAAGCATACAAGCCAAAATCAAGAATACATGCCAATGCCAAGCATCAAGCCAAAATCAAGCATACACATGCCAAGCATCCAAGCGAACAAGCCAATATCAACCATGCAAAATCAAGCCTCCCTAGTCACTCAAGCAAATAAATAATGTAAGCTAAGTTATTTCGAGCTAATCCACTAAGCATTTTCTTCTCTGTCATGCCAACTCTTGGTAACTCTAGTAAGTGACCTCCAAAAATTACAGTGTCTAGGAAAGTTCTTCAAGGCAACACCCTCAGTGTTTAAGAAGGATTGGATTTTAAGCGGGACCATTGCAACCCCTTCAACCTTCCTGGAAAAAACCTTGCCGTAATTTCAGAGGCACTTAACTAGTCATCCTGGAGTTGCTCCTAAACCCATGCCATGCCATGCCACTGCAATTTATTTTGGGATGGAAATTGATTATTTGGACCATTTCAATACACATTCATGGCCCCAATAATCAAGGGGGCAAATGTTGAGGCCCAAAAACTCCACGATTCGGCCCAAATAAATTTTTGGACCAATGCGATACCTTATCAACAAGAAACCAAATTTGGGCACGCGAATGTTCGTCATATACGCTTTGCACACATGCCACGCCAAGCAAATAAGCAACATGCCACGCTACAAGCTTAAGTGGACCCAAGCCACGTTAATGCCTGGGGCTTGCTGAGCGGGTTGTGGTATGGATGGTTACGAGTATTCACGAGGCCCATTGATGGTCCAAGGAGTGGAAGTTTTGGGCTACTTGGGAGCACCAAAACTCAAGCTCATTCATTGAGTCCAAATATATGGGCAAGCATGAGAGAAAACCCAATAGCCCATCACCTTAAGAAAAGGCCCAAACATCTTTAAAAAATGTCCAATAGCCATAGCCCATAAAAAATCCCACATTAGCCAAAGCTTCTAGCAGTTTGATGAAATCAAAGGAAACTCACAAACTGCTGGAAACAAAACAGCCTAGCCCAGCATTTTATAAAATATCCAATGTCGTGCTTTGTTAAAACCAGTTCAAAGCCAAACCAGCAAAAGCAAGCAAAACCCATGTGCTAATCACCTTTTTGACCAAGCACCCTTACCCATTGTTTCCTCTTCAAGCTTTGGTGAGAAAACAAGAAGCAAAAGTGGGTGGCACCTCACCCACATGAAGAGTCCAGCTACTTGAGGACCTTGGAACCCCAAAAAGTTGCGTGCCTATGGGTTCAGGCTAGAGAAATTTCACCAAACTAGATAAATGGAAGAAAGTGAAGGAAAAGGGGAGAGGGTGGCTTGATAAAATTGAGTCTTCTAGCCCCTATAAAAGGAGACACTTTCTTCCCAGCAAAACAACTCACAATGGACAGAACAGACAAGAACGAATTGAAGGCAAGCATCCACTCTGGAATCCTTCAATTTCATGCTTTGTTCTTCCATTCCTCTTCCTCTCTCTCAAAACCCACATCCAGAGAGAGCAAGCATCATCTTTCATCTCTGGAACCCTTCGATTTCAAGCCTTGTTCTTCCATTGCTTCCATTTTTCTCCTCTATCAAATCGCCCATGAGCTTGACGAAGCTTTCGTCAAGCCGCTGGAAATATGCTAAAGCCATCCATGCTTTCATCTTCTACCTCTCTTTCCACAACACAGATTTAGAGAGCAAGCTTCATCTCTCTCAAAGCCTCTGTTCCTCATAGGAAACCCCAAGCCTTCTCTCTCTCATGCTAAACTCACGAATACTCAGCTCCCATGCCACAAGCTCTCATGCCAAGCCCAAGAATTTATCTGTAAGCAACTGTTGGTTTCGTTGGTGAAGAAGACCAAGGTGTTTCCTAAGGCTCAGCTACCCTTTCGAAACACACTTGGGGCCTGATCCTTGAACTAAGACTCAATGGGCAATTTCACACATGTTTCTCTTTTCGGCAGCCCAAGCCCATTCCTCAAGCTGCTGGAATAAAAAGATCCCTACAATAGATAATTGAGAGAGAGAGAGAGAGAGAGAGAGAGAGAGAGAGAGAGAGAGAGAGATGGGAGGCAGTGGCGGATTTGTGCAGGCGCAAGGAGGTGCACCTGCACCTCCGCTCGCCGGAAAACTCCATAAGAGATGCTGGAGTTGCACCTTTGCTCATACTAGAGACGCACGCAAGGTGTTCGATGAAATGTGCAAATGGCCTGGGTGTTGTGCTGCTGGTGCTGCAAGCTACGCTGAGCGCGCGCTTCCTTTTTTGTTTATAACTAAGCCTGGCCAAAACGTCATCGTTTTGGACCAGGTTTAAAAATATAAAAAAAAAAAAAAAAAGGAACATGTTTATATGGACACGGGTTGATAATTTTGATTCGTACGAAGACAGAGAAGAAGTTTTCTGTTTTGCAATCAATCTACGATCTTGTAATCTACCAGATTTCCCCCCCTTTTTTTTTCTGTTTTTTGTGGCTAGGCAGTTAGCTATCTCTTCTGTATATGTAGTGTATCCAAGTATCTGATTTTACTGAAATCCAAGATTTAGGATCTTTGTCAAATATGGTGGTCACTCCATTTGTATTAGTTTCTTGTAAACATAAAGATCTTGGTGACCTCTTCTGTTAGATTTTCAGTAAATATCAAAGCCTGCTGATTTCAACTTTAAAGCTTGGGCAATACCACAAATATTCAACTTCAAAGATTTGATTTTCCAAGCTAGGCAGAACCCCCGGCAATTATTTCCTAGCCATATCGTGCTCCCTCTCTGCCTTCTCAGCCGCCTCCGTGGCTGGCACCAGCCAACCAACATGGTAGAATTTGATAGACATATGGCAATACTACCTCTCCTCAACATCCCCTACTGTTGTGATTATCTTTTTATGCTAAGTGTTTTGTGATGCTCACTCCTAATTACTTATATAGAGTATGTTAAAAATGAACTGTTGGTGTTGATGATGATAGCGATAAATTGCATCTGCGCTGAAAAATTCCTGGGTCCGCCACTGATGGGAGGGAATATTGTATGAGAACTTCTTTTTTTCTTTCTAATTTCCATTTTGTTGTAAAAAAAAAAAAAAAAAAAAAATCACAGAAGACTATTTATTTGGTTCATGTGATATATCATTATACAAAAAGCTTGCGAAATTCGAATGCATATCTCTTAGCTACTGGCAATGTTATTCTCAGTTCACTGTAATTTATTCCCACCTCAGAAAAGAAGCAAATTTCCAACTTGGAGAAGTATCAACAGAACAACTTTATAAAATTGGCATAAAGTTCATGAGAAAGTGAAAATTATATAAACCGTATCTTATACTTTTCTAAGTACATGTGATCTCAAGGTTACTATAGACTGTAATTAAAGATATATATATGGAGTATTGGCCATTCAATGTGGCGATGCCATAATAGAATTTTCAATCAATGTCATTCAATGTAGTATGATTGGATTAGTTTAATCAAATCGTATTGCTTGGTAATCAAATGTGAACAACGATTGGACAAGAATTTATCCGACCATAATCCTATCAAGTGCAATTTTTTGCAGCTAAACTAATCCTTACAATATATATATATATATATATATATATATGATTGCAAACCAAAGAATTGGCGTTAAGGTTGTGAACCAAGGGCCATGGCCCTAACTAATGTAGAGACTCAAGGGCCGGCGTTAGGAACCAACCCCGTAATTCGGGACCCAAACAATGTGGATGGACTTTGACAAGCCCAGCCTCGATAACATAATCACAAAATTCGACTCACAAAACTTAGGATCTCGGCATCTGGGACCAGGATTCCTAACCCAGGTGCTCGGTATCCAGACTTTAGGCCTAGAATGCCTATGGTGCTTGAGAGCAAGGCCCAACAATTGTACGAAAAAGCAGTAGAAGACCCAAAAATTATAAGCACTCCCCAAAGGAAAAAATAAAATTAATAAGGACATGACAGGCTCAATATCACCCAAAAAGGACATGAGGTGAACATATTTTTTTTAGGTTTTCCGGGATTTGCTTAGTGGTTCCTTATTCCTTGGAATTGTTGTCGGGTTTTCTTGGATCATGTAATGTTATGGTAATGGGTTTCAGTGGAGATCGATGGAAGGCTATGTTTTACATATATTTTAAGTTTTAATAGTTTGTGTACAAAATTTGATTGAATTAAAAAAGGTAATGGTAGTTGTGTTCCATAAAAATAGGATCCATTATCTGATTTTCTTTTCATTTTAATTTTTTTAATATGAAAAGTGTGAATTTACCATATTATCCTTATTTAATTAATAATTTCAATTCTTAATGTTTGCATTAACCAATGGCATTTTCTGGTATTTTGAATATTTTACCATTTAAAAAATATATATTTTATTTTAGAGTAGTTGTGTTCCATAAAAATAGGATTCATTACCTGATTTTTCTTTTAACTGTAATTTTTTTAATATGAAAAAGTGTGAATTTACCATATTGTCCTCATTTAATTAATAATTTTAATTCTTAACCAGGGGCATTTCTAGTATTTTGAATGTTTCACCATTCTCTGCCTTTTGCTTTATATATATAGATGACTTGTGTTATGTGTATTATTATTCGTTGAAGTTGTAATACAAGATTAACAAATTTGCAGATTTCCTTTCTTTTCCCCTATAGTTCACCAATCCATATGAAGTGTAATTTTATTAACACAAGAAACTAATATTATTAATCACGAGCCAAACAATTTATACTAGAAACTAATTCCAAATTCCTCATTGTAAATCATTCCATCCAAAGGGACCAAAATTTGTTACATAACCATAATGTCATCATAATACTGTTTGTGTGATAACCTCAAAATTGAAATTATATGGTTATTAATATTCTGAAAAATCATACAAGATTAATAAAATGTATGGGTATTTTATGAAGTTGGTTTGGTGTGGTAATAATGGAGTTAAGTGAGTTTAATCTCAATTTGGGACTAAAATTCTCTTACGTTTAATTTTATGATTTTTCAAAGGAAGTAGAAGAAATTGAAGTGAGAAAATTATGATTCTTAGATGGAAAAATGGAGCTCGATCTCACGAACGCATAGGCGTAGACGGTTCGTGAATCCGAGTTGAAACGAAGACGTTATGCTTGTTTGAAGTTTCTAGCACATCCCTCAGAATTTGTTTTGTTTACTTTGTTCCCTAGTTTATGCAAATCCTCACTTGTATGTGAAATTTGTCATTTGTCAAAATTTACTAGACTTCCATTTAATTCTTCCATATCTAGAGCTAGCAAGCTTTTTGAGATAGTGCACTCTGATGTTTGGGGACCTGCATCTCTAGAGTCTTTTGATGGTTATAGGTGCTACATTACTTTTATTGATGATTTTTCAAGAGTCACTTGGTTGTACCTCCTAAAATTCAAAAGTGAAGTCATGGATGCTTTCAAGAATTTTCATAATCTTGTCCTGAACCATTGTTCATCTCAAATTCACATATTAAGGTTTGATAATGGCACTGAATATACATCTAAAAATATGACTAACTATTTGAGTACACATGGCATTATACATCAAACAAGTCACTACTACAAAAATCGAAATAGACGACGGGAACCCATCGTCGTCTAGAAGGTTTTCAGACTGTCGTGAAATCGATCGCCATCTTTTGTACATAAAACGACGACGGCTATTAACCGACATCATTAATACATTCAACGTCCAAAAATATTACAAACCGACGTCTAATTACTATAGACATAGCCTATTTTGAAATCTTCGACAATATTAGACGACGGTTTTATTAAAATTGAGACGCCTAAAGAGTGTTACATGTCAAGACCAAAACAACCACCGATGTAAATAATTATCCAAGTCCCTAATTGAAGGAAAACAGACTTGTATAACTTAGAAACTGTCGTGGTTAACTTATACTACGTTAAATAAATAAAGACACTGATGTCTAAAGAGCAACAGACAATGCACCCACAAACGAACAGACGTTTAAACCTATTACATGTCAGTAGTCGTGCGACCATGATTCTTACTAGATGGTGTCTATTGTACGGCCAGACTATAATGAGGGGTAAGTTATAAGGGGTAAGTTATAAGGGGTTCACTTTATAGTCATTGGATCAATCGAAGGGCTGGGGAGAATTGGGATAAAGTTGTGCAATCGGGTAGGTGAGGAACCCAAACCCGAATTTAATTATCCAGCAATGAAGTTGCCCCAACAAAAAAAAAAAAAAAAAAAGAAAGACAAGTTCGAAGTTTGAACAGAAAAAACCCATTGATCTCAAACTCATAGCTGAGAGAAACCGCTAAGCTCTGAGAAACGGTTGAAGGCAACGGGCAACGACGGTTGAAGGCAACGGGCAACGACGGTTGAAGGCAAAGGTTAACGACGGTTGAACGCAACTCCACTATCTAAACCGTGAAAAAGTATTTATTTTGAGTGGAAGGAGCAAAGGCGTGGATTCTGAAACAGTGAAGACGAAGCAGTGGAAGGGGAAGGAGAGAAGCCGTATTCGTTGGAAGTGATAGGTTCCATTTGTGGAGCAAAGCCGCACAAAGACCCAACACAGACACCTTGCGATTGTTCAATAACCAGCATTTGGTGAGTAATTTATGGAATTTGAGTTTAGGGTTAGAGTAACCGTTTTCCCCAATTTGTAGCATGAATGTTGTTAGATTTGGCATCTCTTCTTTGTGCTTCACTTGCATGTTAATTTTTGCTTGGGTATATGTTAAAAAACGAATGAATATAAAGTCAATAACATGTCAATAACATGTCAATAATGATATGAATAAGGTAATGGTGTTGAATTGGAGGAGGCCCTCAAAACCTTCCACATTTGAAGCAGTGCAGAGTGCAGATTATCTCTCTGGAGCTAGAATATATATAATTTTTGAAATAAATATTATTTCCGTTGTTACTAAATTTGCCTGTTAAAAATGAGAACAGATAATAATAAACTCATGAATAAAAGTGCAAAGCATTTGAAAAAAGGTTGATCTATGACGATTATGGCTGACTGAAGAAAAAGCTAGAAAGAAAGAAGGATGTGGCAATGGCTTAGCGAGCAGATAGCAGAGCAGATGCTTTGCTTTGCTTCCTTCCACCATCTTTCTCATTTATTTATTTATTTATTTTGTGTTGTGTATGAAATGACAATAATTGTCATGTGTGTGAAGTGCAGAACTTGCCTAGATTGCACTCACACTCACTCATGCATCAACCATTGATTGGAGTTTGGATCCATAAATAAAACACATGCTAGTGCTTGTAATTCACAGAATCATTGCATTAACAGGTATTTGCACAAAATATGTCATATTGCTTTGATGATGTTAAAGCCTGTGATCAGTAATCCCTATGCGCATGTACTTTGTAAAATTTGTAATGTGCTGGTTGACTAGTTGTGTAAATACCAATGTGATTGTGCAAATACGTGGTAGTATATGTGTTCACGTTATTTCATCTTGTATTTCAGGAAATGGGATCCAACGTTGAGCTGGTATGGCCAGAGTCAGAGGCATATTCCTCACGGGTGAACAACTGCTCACATGCAAATTCATCCATAGCTGTAATTCGAGCGAAGTTGAGTGCCGAACAATTAGAACAATTCAAGACATCATGCTTTGGCCATCTTCTGAATATAGATAAGATTCAGTTTAGCGGGCAGATTGTGCATGGGGTTGTGTTGCGTAGAGTAGCGGGGCAGGGTGTGAAAGACTTGGATGGACTGAGTTTCTTAATAGGGTGCGACGTTGCTCAGTTCACTCGTCAGGATTTCTGTTTGATCTCAGGGCTTCGTTTTGGGGAAGTGCCTGAAGTTTCCAGTGGAGAAAGTGATGAAATTAGACTTCAGAAAAGATATTTTATAGACGAAGGAATTACATGTAATGCTTTAGAAGAAGCATTTGTGAGGTGCACAGAGGAAGATGACGTCTACAAGCTAGCTCTTGTTTACTTTGCTGAGTTAGTGGTTTTGGGAAGGGACAAACATTTGAACATCAATCTAAATTACCTGACCCTTGTAGAGGACTTGGATGCGTTCAACAGGTTTCCATGGGGTTCGGTGTCGTTTGACAAAACCCAAGACAGTCTGTTTTCTGCACCAACAAAGTATGTGAAAAGCTTTGAAAATGAAGAGGGAAGAGGGAAGGGGAAATGTAAGGTAACCGGAACAAGCCGGAGAAATGAGAAGGGCAAGAAGGATAACCATGGTGAAGTGCAAAGGGGTGGCTGGAGTTTTAAAGGTTTCACGTATGCTTTCCAGGTACATGGTAATAATGTTCATGTCGTTATGTTCTGTTGACTTTAAAACTTAAATAATAACTTGTGTCCTGTGAATTGTGTAGATTTGGGTATATGAATTAATTCCTAGAATGGTGGACCTGAATTACTGCAAGGTTGTTGATCCGACAGCTCTCCCGCGTATTTTGCGATGGAGAACTACTACGTCTGTTCCCGAGATGAGAAAGTTGAACAATTATTTTTTCCAGAGCAAAGAGGTTTGGTTTGCAGCCCTTGGAACTATTTATAAGATTCAATGAAATTATGAAGTAGAATGATTGCATATGACTCTTGTCTGTTTTCTGAAACAGTCAGTTCAGTTGCGGGCGCTATGTCCAAGTGAAGAGGAAATGAGACAACCATATTGGAGTTGGCCACAGGGTCGCCCTGCTGTTGTCTCGGCAGAGTCAATTCCTTCTTCATGTGCTGACCTTGATGAGTTGAACAAGGCGGTAAGCTTGTTGAGGTCCGAGTTGTTTCAAGTAAAGCGGGAAAAGGACGTCCTTGAGTTAAAGGTCATACGGATGGAAAAAAATTTGGGCCACTGTTTAGGTCCTCATTTTGAGCAGGAAGTGAGAAGGGACATAGCTTTACTGAAAGAGAGGACGAATCGTTGTGTCGTGTCACATCTATTTAAGGGATATGAGGAAGTGGATGGCATGCAATGGGATGAAGGGCCAAGTAATAGAAATGAAGGAGAGGCAAATGAAGAGGAGGACATTGAAGGGGGTGAAGGGCCAAATAACAGAAATGAGGGAGAGGACAAGGAAGAGGAGGGGATTGAAAGGGGTGAAGGGGCAAGTAAGACAAATGAGGGAGAGGAAAAGGAAGAGGAGGGGATTGAAGGGGGTGAAGTGCCAAGTAAGAGAAATGAGGGAGAGGAAAAGGAAGAGAAGGGGATTGAAGGAGGCCAAGTGCAAAGAAAACCAAGGGAGGTAGAGGAAGCTCAAAGGAAAAGAAGTGAGGGAGAGCAAGTGAAAATAAAAAGCAGCAAAGGAGAGGAAGCGCAAAGAAAGAGCATTGAGGGAGAGGAAGAACTGCAAAGAAAAGCAGTGAGGGAGAGGAAAAAAAAAAAAAAAAAAGGAAGCAAGGAAGTGAAAAGACAGAGAAGTGAGGAAAAGGAAGTGCAAAGAAACCCAATGTGAGGAAGAGGATGATGAAGTTATGTTGGTTGGCGATGACATTGGCGAGAGCACGGAGGGGACAAAGGTTGAGGTTACTGTCGGGGACATTGATTTGGATCAACCTAGAGCTGTGTTATCTCAGTTGAACGTTTGGTTGAATGATGAAGGTCAAGGTGTGGAACGAGGGGTCCAATTACGGAAGAGGAAGAGGATTATTCCTATGTGGAAGATCGTTGAAGCTAGTGAAGTGGTTAAAAAAAATTTGCCAAAGACAACCGGACTTCGGACGTTAGACCCAATGAAGGCGATTCCGCATGATGATATGGTGAAATTGCTGAAACTTTGTTCGGAATGGCGCCATAACCCAAAGTAAGTCCTTTGTTTTTTGAGATAGAAGGCATGAGTGTATATATTTTGTAATTGTTGTGTTCTAAAACTTTTTTATATTCATAGTTTGGTGATGCAATTTGGCAACGTGGAAGCTGAGATTGAATTCTTCGCTTCCCTCGTCAAAGCTGACGGCTGGCTGAAAGGAGATGTAAGTTTAATTGATTATGCATTTGTTTGAATGTGCATAGATAATGAGATTGACAAGGAAAACATGTGCAGCACATTGATTTGGGCTTGTATCTCATCCGGAAGCGACAACAACAGTTGGAGGAAGTAGAAATATCGGATTGGACAACGACCGATGTATTTTTTATGGTATGTGATGCAGGATGCATAGGACCTAAATTGTTTAGTTTCCTAATTTATTGGTTAGTTTCCTATATTCTTTAGTTTTCCAAATCCTAGTAGGATTTCTAAGTTAGTTTTCCAAATCCTATTAGGATTTCTAAGTTTCCTATTTTATTAGGAATAGGATTTCTGTTTTACCTGGGGATTTTAATTCTATTCTCTCTAGGTTTTAGTTTGCTATAAATACCCCTGTGTAGTTCTTTACAATTCAGATTTGAATATTGATTAAACATTCCTTTAAACTCTCTGATTTCTGCCTGCCTTCTACCTTTTCTTCCCTTCAGCTTTTCTTATCTGTTATGTCTTATTGCTCTAAGTGTTTAAACTAACACACCCAGGGCTGTGCTACATCAGTATGGCATAGGCCTTGACCAAGTGCAGTTAATAATTACAAATTATCCATACTTGCTTTGTGGAGTTGTTTAACCATTGATTGTTTTCTATTTCACAGAATCACATCCATACTTGCTTTGCGGATAATAAAAGGAAAAAAGAGCAAGTTGGGTGGAAAATTAGAACCAGTTTAGTGAACGTTGTAAATGGCAAGGTTCCGGCTTGTGGATTGGATTGGCAGAACACGTATAAGGTGTATGTACCTTGTATGTTGCAAAAATATAAGCATTGGGTGGCTCTAGAGATTGATCTGATTCAGTGTGAAATCAAAGTCTACGATTCAATGGTTTCACTCATTCCAGATCAGAGCTTAAAGGAAGAACTCGGCCCCCTGTCAATTACGATTCCAAATCTTCTGCACACCCTCGACTTTTATGAAGAAGGTGTTTACGCGAACGAGTGCACCCGAGATTGGTGGTGTCCATGGCCAATACATCGTGTGGATGTTCCACAACAGGCTAATCAGTGAGCACAACTTTTTATTTAATTTTATTACTTTAATTGTCAATTATGTTAGAATGTCATTAGTTGAATTGATCGAGTTCTTGTTTTGCTTCAGAGGCGATTGTGGTATGTTCGTGTTGAAGTACATTGAGCTGTTGAGTGCTGAGATTTCCTTAGCTACTTGCACCTCGCAGAACATGCCATTTTTTCGGTTGAAGTTGGCTGCAGAAATTGCACGGGGAGATGCTTACATGCCATGATATCGGTTGAACTTGGTTTAGGCACATGATGATGAAATAGGTTTTGGGAATGTCAAATTTCAAAGTCATGTAAATACACAATAGAGACCCATGGGTCCTTTTCGAATTCCACCTCTGCTCCTGAATTCTTCTTCGTCTTTCTCAATCTTAGTGTATTTGTGTACAGAAATTTAGATTTAAGTTACTGGACAATAACAATTAGAACCAAAATAGTGGCAAATATTATAGCGGATGCATGCTTTCATTTTGATTAGTGTGATATTACGCTATGTGTATTCTCATATTGTGCAAAATGTATATGGAGCTGGTTGCAGAGCATAGAAAAATGAAGACTCTGAAATGGAGATGCTGAGGGTTGGAGAGGAGAAAAGTAACTGGATCTGTAAATCTATTGCACGTGGGCAATCTAAATGGATAGGCAGATGCGTTTTTGAAGTTAGACACATGCCATTCCCATACATAGAATGTGCATATGGAGTGTAAAGTTTTTTTTGATGTAATGAAACAAACATCGGTGTAATATTGGCCTAACTCCTTCACGACATTTACCTAACCTCAACCAAACTGCATTGAATTGGGATTTGAAGACTGCATATGTGAATTTGGATTTGAAGAATGCATATTCACATACGGACTGATGGCTTTTAAGTGTATTACATCATTGCAAAGTGATATGTCATCATTTATCCAAGCCACCATTCCAAATATCAGATCCCAATCTTTAAGCCGTTCAACATGCCTTGACTTAATCGCAATGGGTTGCATCTTAAGGTAATTCTGTAAGGGGAATAGGCTGCTATGGCCTCGCCTCCAATATTTTATTCAACCATGCCCTCCTTATAGAAACACATGAAAAAATGTCCCCAGGTGCAATGCTCTAAAAACTCCCTATTGGTTCCGCACTGCCCCTCGGGTTTGAATCCCTCTCTCCTTTATAATCGGTTAATAAATTGGTTGATTTTCTTTATTTTATTGGTTTTGGGCAGCTGAGTAACATAACAGTAATGTATATTGGTGCGTCTATATTGCATGTCTGTTGGGTCTATATTGCTTGTCTATTGCGTGCATATCTTTACATTTTTTGCGTCTGTATTGATTTGTATTGCTTACGACGGAAATAAATAACAATACACAGGCAACAGACAAGCAATATACACGCAATAGATATGAAATATACACGCAATAGACATGCAATATACATCAGTCCCCAATTACATCAACCATAAGGAAGTCGTATTGAATAGGAAATTCTACTTAAGTTGTTCTTCCTACGAAAACAAAGAATAAGGACCGTTTCCCCCCTTAAATCTAACTGGAGTCCTACTTTTGCCCCCAATAAACTTGCAATATTGGAGCAATAACATGCGATATACATGCAGTAAACACTCAATCAACTTTCAATAAACCTTCAATATCGGTTCAATAACATGTGAAATACATGCAGTTAACAATCATGAAACCTTCACGAAACATGTAAACAATCAATAAACCTTCAATAAACACTCAATATCGGAGTAATAACATGCGAAATACATGCAGTTAATGAACCTTCAATAAACAGTCAATATCATGCGATTTACATGCAGTAAACAATCAATAAACAATCTATATACACTGAATAATTATGCAATCTTAAAAAAAAGGTATTGTCTTATTATTGCATCGTATTGGCCCTGTATTGTCATTTTATCGTCTTCGTCTGACTTTATTTTTGTAAAGTAACTGTAGGAAAGTTTTTACTGGGTTTCTGACAAGTAAATGCTTTTGTTTCAAACAATAATTTAAACTCAATGCTAATCCACCTATTTCAATAACAAAAATTACAAATTGAGTTTGAAAAGTCATTGGTGGTGCGTGCAACATGTGTTTTTGGGGAGAACTTTTACAATCCTTGAAACCGTGCACTTAATTGGTCATTAAAAGAACAAATAATATGACAATTGATACAACTAATAAAACTAATACCAAGTCCTTAATGGACTTCAGCATATTAAGCACTGTAGCATCATACGTGTCAGCTTGCTGATCTGCTTCAGCGGAGGTTACATCAACCCATTCGAATCCATTGCAGCTGGTGGCTCCCTAATTGCAGGCATCATATATGCAAAATAATTTTGTCAGAGTTAGACCTAGGATTTTTTTTCACCCACATACATATTCTGGAAATGAGAACTTACATAGGAGGTTAGACACTTCCAAAATGCCTTCCCGCGATTTTTATCTGATTTTGAAACCCGAAGCACCATTGCCGCTCCACAATACTGACACCTCTTTGTTTGAGCGGGAGATGAAGACGAAGACATGTTGAATCTTATCACTTGTACCTCTTCTCACTCAGATCTTCTCACTAAAACCTCTTCGGACTCATACCTTCTGAGTTATACCCCTTCACTCATAAGTCATAACCCTAAACTTCTCACTCAGCTCTCTCTCATCTCTGCCCAAATCGAATTATATCCTTCTTTTCTGTGTGTGGGTGGGTTGGTCACGATCTGGACACCTGTACCGTCAGAATTGTGACACATTTTACTCCGATAAGCGATATACTATTTCACAAACAATAATTAATCTTACAATTGAGGGGACACTGCTTTAAATATATTATTTTCTTTATATTGCATTAAGGCAACTAGTTGGATAAGAATCCGTCATTTAATAGGGGTAGTGTGGTGTGGGAAAATGAAAAAGTATCTGATGGGACCTTCTGTCACTAGTCAGTAATCCATCACATTTGTATCAATGAATTTAATGGCGGGAAAAGCCTAACAATGGCTATGGAAATAGGTTATTAATTGACTTTTGGACGGTCTGACTCCCTTTGCATTTTGATGACGTTTTCCCTTCGCCTGTCTTATGTTTTGGGTGTTGAGTTCAGTTTCTTTAAAAAGTGTCAACTTGGTAAAACCCCAAGGAAACACCTTTTCAGAACAGTGCAACCAGAGGCTAAAACAAACCCAAAACCCCGTATATTCTCATTTCTCCCCTCTTGCAGTCCTCAAATCGTTCCATTCCAAAAATATTTCAATGAATTCCAAACATTACACTACAGTCGGAGGAAAGAGAAGGAAGCATCGCGATCCGGATGTGCCTCAAGCCTTCATCCCGGAATTAGCTTGGTTTAAAGTGATGTTATACGTGGCAACCAACTCATCGGAAGATCTCTTTCGTATGGCATGTGTGTGCCGA